TGATTGGGTGAATCCAGTAATTTCTGTCTCAGTGTGTGTCAACATTGTCTTCGTGTATTTTTTTAACATTTTTAAAAATTTGGCTTTATGCAGCTGCATAATGGCCTTTATCATACTGTAAAGCACTTCAGGTATAAAAAGGAAGGAAGAGGTAAAGATGGAGAGGAAGAGGGAGGGGGGAAAGAAGAAATGAAAAGGAATTCTGAAAGTAAAGTAATAGTGTTCTGGCTTTCCACACAGTCAGTTTTGGTGAGTTGGTAGAGCCAACGTAGAGCCAAAGATGGTGCTCACATTTTATCTTTTTTAACAAGTCCACTGCAATGAGGATTAAACCAAAGTAGCTCCTCTCAAGTTTGGTGACAACCACCATTCTAAAATGAGTGAAATGAGATTCAGCAATATCAAAGTCTCGGTTAATTAGTGTCAGATCCAGAAGTTGAACCCTAAGGTCTCGTGCCTAGTCTAGTGCTTTTCCCCATTCTATCTGTACCCTACTTTCATTTCCAAAAGGAACACCACATGATGTGGGGGAGAGGGGGCCAGGGGAGGAAAGAACCAAATAGCTGCACCTTGATTCTGAAAACTTGGTTACCCATTTCTCCCACTGAAACATAATGTTGTTATTGATGTGCATGCAAGAGGATAGGGTTTGAAAACATCTTTGGGATGTATGGCTGTTTCTCAGTCTTGCACTTCAGAAAAGAGGCAGTGTGATAAGACAGCATTAAAGACAAAAAGTGCAATGATCCCTGGGAATGGGTGACATGTTGTTGACACATGAGCAAAGGAGAATTTGATCTTAGACACTGTGGTGATGGTGGTCACAATTCTACCTATGGTGGCATGTCATGTGACGTTCCCAGTGTATGGATGATTTGGGTTCCTTTAGTGGGATGCTAAGTTTGGTACTATAAAAAAAAAAAACCCTGACCCCAAAATAAATAAATATATTATTTTATTCTCCTACACCCTCTGCCTCACTCCAGTACAAATGAGGTATGTTTTTTTTTTCTTAATTTTTTTTTTAAAATGAGGTATGTTTTTATCCACAAAAACTCACTGTAGAAGAATTTTAAATAACATATACTAATATGAATAGGTGCCAAGATGTGTTGTCAAGCAAAAAGATTTTAAAGTTGCAGAAAGCTGTTTTGCATACACAAGAGTCACCCTACCTTCTGTGCACAAGCCCAGAGTTCAAGCCCCATGACCGACCAAAAAAAAAAAAAAAGAATCACCTTACCTTACCAGCGGGAGAGAGAGGTACCAAGATCTCCAGTCCATACCTGAAACCAAAGATCCTATATATCTGAATTTTATAAATTCTACTAACATGTAGTATTTCATGTACCTGTCTATGATAACATTTAATTTTTAAATTAGGCACAGCAAGAGATGAACAGCAAAAACACACACAATAAAATAGATTAATTATAAAAGTATGTTAAATTATGAATTATGTCTGGAATTGTCTGCTTCTATTTTTTAGACTGTGGGTAACTGAAACCCCAGAAGGCAAAAGACAGTGCTAAAGAAAGAGCCGAGTACCATAAACCTAAACTGAGAGTAGCTGTGTGTCAGTGTTTGGATGAATATGTGCAAATGTTTATATTTAAACATAATTTCTGGACATATGTACATGGAAAGGGAGTCTCTGAAGAGGCTTGTGTTTCTCAATTATGTATATCTTATGCTACAGGCATTACTTTCTGATTTTTCCAAAGGGGAGAGGGGAAACTTAAACCATTGAATATTAGTGTAAGGATTGTAGCAACTCCTCTCTTTGGAGAAGGTTTATGGGAGACTGTGGGCTCTGAAAACTGAAGTACATGCTGGGTATCAGTGTGTGACAAGGGTAAAAGCATAGCAGACATTCTAGCAGAGTCCAGGACCTTTCTTCCTGGAGATGTGTGTCACAAAGGCTTTCCTCTTGTGCTACTCCTGTTCAACCTAGAAGCCAACATAAGTCCTTGTGATGTTGATCAGTACCATTCCAGGAAGTCTGCGCTTACATAGCTTATTGGATACAGGAGGAGGTCTGGTTGATTATTTCCATGTTCATTTTCCTGTGAATGTGGGCAGTGGATCTAGATCACATTCTGTTTGACATACTAGCAAATAAAACAAAATGCCATTTAACAAAACAAATAAATAAATCTTTGCAATATTTTTTATTAGGACACAAAGGTCCTTAAACTATAAAAGAAAATTGGTATATTGGGCTGCATGCACATTAAATACATTTCATGGAGAGATACTATTTGTCAGTGGGATACCTGGAAACTTGGGAGTGATAGAAGTGTGCTCTTGTTCTGTTCATCTTGATTTTGAGTCATGGTAACAGGATTGTAAAATTTGTCAGACTTCGGCAAACTCTACCCTTAAAATGTGTGTCTTTATTACATGTAAGTTCTTTGGCAGCATTTATTTTTGTAGGGTGCCATACCACATAATACCCCAGGGAAGGGCTAGTATCGCCACTTGCAGTTCTTTGGTTTACCCAGTGAGTCGCTCTCCATTCCATTCTCTGTTGAGGGCTACTATAGGATCTGGTCTTCTCAGAGCGGAGGTAAGGCTGGAAGAGCCCATTACATACTCCAGTGAGTGCCCTACCTGTTATACTACCCAGAATGCCTAGAGGCCAGTGGGCATTCCAGGATGGCGTCTGCATTTATATCTGTAGACCCAGCAGACGTGGCACATCCAGGTCTAAGGAAGCATGAATAGCTCATTAAACTTGTTCTGTATCGGCTTGGGGGCAGGGCAGGGCCGGGGGGGGGGGGGGGGGGGAGGGATGGGCCTTGTGAGGGGGTCAGCTGAGACTAAAGTGCTCCCCAAGAAACAGTTTTTCCTAAATTTGTATGCATGTGAGTGGGGTTTTTGTTTTTATGTCTGAGGGTCTCCTGTTTGCTTTGATTTTACTGGCACATGGACATCTTCCTGACTTCTGTTTTTGTTTGTTTTGAAGAACACAGAACTTTTTTTTTTTTTGCCAGTATACACCTGTTGTATTTGTATTCTCAAAGATGGGAATGGACCTTTGCATGGTGAGAAGAAGAGCAAAGGCCATTCCACACAGAGGGGGGAGGAGAAGCAATAATAATAAAATTAATAATAATAATAATAATGCCTTGTAAGGAGGCCAAGCTCTAGGGGTGAGAACCTGGAGGAACTTCAGGACCAGTGACGTGAGCTTTAGGCTTTTCAGTTATTCATTCATCATACTGTGTGTGTGTGTGTGAGAGAGAGAGAGAGAGACACACACACATACACCTTTTAGACATTTCACCCTAGGAGTCACAAAATAAGTGAATCTGCCCATTTCTTGTATGCAATACGCGTATTAAAATAAGCTTGTACTCCATTAGGAAGTATAAGTAACAGGCTTCTCCAGCAGACAGAATAGGGAGGGAAGCAGGGGGAAAGCCTGCCGAGTTCCTTTGCTTTTTTTTTTTTTTTTTTGAGGCATTGTCTTCTGAAACCAGCATCATCCATATCATTAATGGCTCACAAGGCTTTATACTATATTATCACATTACTCCCTTGGAATTAAACTACACATATAAAGTATGAAAAATGCAGTTTTTTTTTTAAAACAGTAAAAGGGGTGGAGGGAGGGGAGTCATTTTCTCTGATAATACCCAAAATAAAGTGCCGTGGAGCCATTAGTAGTAAATTGAATTTTTTGGTATGTAATTTGTACAAAAACTGACAAGCATGATTCCCCCCCCCCCCCCCCCCCACACACACACACACACACACTCCCCATCATTAGTTGTTGGGCTTAGCGGACAGGGAGACTGTAAGCTGCAAGGGCAGGCATTTTGATGTCGATTTCACTTGCACACTTCATTTATTTGGACAGGGCACAGGCGGCAGCTTCTGTCACGGGGCATCACGACACTATTAGTGAATTTCGCCCCAGGGCAGCTGGGCCGCTGGGCTGGGACAGATGTTCTTTTCAGCCTATTCAGTGACCATTCTTGGGGGTTGTTTACTGTTGCCATGGTGACCTTCATTTCCATAGCAGCAGCACTGCTGTTTCTCAGAGGAAAATGAATTTAGTTATAAAAGGATAATATTTTTTTCTGTCTCTATATAACCTGCCATCTGTCAACTGGTAGATCGGTAAGGGTTTAGAAACTCATTAAGAATTATAGCAATAAAGTGATGAGTTGGGGGGGATTTTTTTCTTTTTTGACTCAGATTAAAAATCAGTACTAGATGTAGAAGCAACTGCTGTGCCCTCCTTATCAGAACTTTAATTTTTTTCCTTTGTATTTTTAGTAGTTTTTTTTTTTTTTTCTATGCCTTTACCACCTCTACCCTCACTGTAAACACATATCACCTTGTAAAATGCGGTTCACATTTTGGTGACCAGAGGAGCTAACTAAAGTCTTGTTTCCGGATGCAGGTATATCTAATGCTTTTTCCTCTTGATGCTGTCAGCCTTCCCCCAGTTTGTTAAAGATTGCTGTGGCCCATGACTGCCAGCCTTCTCTCCTACTCCTCCATTCCAAGGTCAAAGCTGAGTGGCTCCAGAGATGGGCAGCTTACCAGAAACATACAACACAAATTACAACATTAACATTATGACTGTGCTCAACTGATTAAAACCTGCTTCTTAAATCTCACTCTAAGCCTGCACTGGTGACTTACCCCTGTAATCTTAGCTACTCAGGAGGCTGATATCTGAGGGTAGAGGTTCAAAGCCAGCCTGGACAGGAAAGCCTAGGAGATTCTTATCTCCAATTTTTTTTTTTTCCACTTTAGAATACCTTTTCCTTCTCACAAATCTAAATTGTTTCTTGTTTTGTTTTGTTTTGTTTTTCATCATCTTTGGGATAGCTCATCTAGATCCTGGATTTCCTTCTTGTTTTTTTTTTCTATCAACATTCACTAACTTAACTTGCAGGGGGATTCACACACACACACACACACACAACACACACACACCAGCCCTGTTGTAAATAATGTTATTTATTGGTTGATTTTTCCAGATCCTGACATTGATGCTGCCAGTGCCATGATGCTTTTGAATACTCCCCCTGAGATACAAGCAGGTTGTGAGTAGATATTTCTCTAGCCTACAGCACCATAGTTTGTGAACTTAACCTTCTCACTTACATGCCAGGCCACAGGAAGAACTAATGCCAAATTAAAACTCCCCATGTAAGCATCACTCGAAAAAAAAATTATATAAGTGCATGATTGCATGCATATGCATGGAAACATGGAGCCATGCATATGTATGAATGAGTGCATCAGTGTGCTGCTGAGTAGATGGCTAGTAAGAGGTCAGGGTTTGTGACTAGAGGAAGAGAATCAGACTTCATAAGGAGTCCCAGTGGAAACAAGCTTCCTTTCTCCTATAGGAGTCGTTGCTATGAGTTTGTAAGGGAGGTTCCATGAGGCCTGCTGGACCATGTTGAAGCTAAACAGTAGGATTTTTAGAACATTCTTTTCTTTCTGGGCTCCCGTTTTGGAAAGTGTGGCTTACCCTAGGCTAGCCTTAAAATGGAGCCCTGATAGCTCCTTATACCATCTCTCTGTAGCCTTCTAGGCTGATCGGAGATAAAAGCAGGGCTGATTTAGCTAAGCAGGGTTTCTGTCTTCATCTTCTATTGGCCATTGAGCGAACATCAAGTATGACACTTAGGTCCACCACCTCGTGGTTCTTCACATCCAGGCAGCTTTTAGGAAGGTCTCCTTCCCAAGGTTAAAAAAGCATCCTTCAGCCAAGGCATCTGCCCTTTGGACCTCTCAACTGGTAGCTGATGCCTTGTTCCTATCCCTCAGTAAGCTAGAATCCCATTGAGCAGACAGACAGCTGGTATACCGGGGTCTGCTCAGCGTCTCAATGGGATACTGCTCCATCACAGCTTCTTACTGATGAAACACTTTGGTGTGAGGAGGGTGACATGAAGCGGCAGACGACACCGTGACACTGCTAGGGGATTTTCCCACCTGTCTCATTTCTGTGGACGCTGGTTGCCTGAAGACCTTATGGCCCCCTTGGCAGCAAGAATCCTCCCACACCCACTCGTGGAGATGATAGTATTTCCCACAGAAAAACAAATACCTGTCCTCAGACCACAACAGGTGTCACCGTGAATGAGTCCAGAAATCAGAGCAGCCTCCATAGCCCTGCACTTGTCCCAGCCTGTCCTGACAGCATTAGGAAACTTGACTCCATTTTTCACTTCTTTGTTCCTCTTTTCAAAGAGCCAAGTAATACAGCCAAGCATTCTCAGGGAGCTCTGGCCCCCTGCCTGGCTGCTCTTACATGCCTCTAACTGTACAATTCTCATTCTCCCTATGCTAACCTCAGATTCACAGCATTTAGAGTATTAGGCTGCCCAGCAAACACCAGTGCTAAGCAGATGTGTAACGGACATCCTTTGATAGTTGGCAGGTAAGCTGGAATGTGGCTCTGAAATACTCATCTTAGGTTTCAGGGGAAAAACATACATTCCAAACCTACCTCCAAGCTGGACACCGGTCTATTATCCTCAGCTGTTCAGAAAGCTGAGCTCTTGAAGATCACTGTTGAAAGCCAGAAGTACCGCTACTGCTCAGGTGGTAGAGTACCAGCCTTGAGCACCCAGGCCTAAGTTGCAGCACCCATATTAGCAGGTGCGCACAGAACCTCAGCACATCCGAGAGACCCTTTCTCACTGGATTCTTTGTTGTTGGTGGTGGGGGTTATCAGGTTTGAACTCAGGGCCCAGGCGCTGTCCCTGAGCTCTTTTTTCAAGGCTAGCGCTCTACCACTTTGAGCCATAGCACCACTTTTGGTTTTCGAGTGATTAATTGAAGATCAGAGTCTCACGGAGACTTTTCTGCCTAGGCTGGCTTCAAACCACAATCCTCAGATCTCAGCCTCCTGAGTAGCTAGGATTACAGTCGTGAGCCGCCAACACCCAGCCTCTCATTGGATTCTTGACTTCGGTTGAACTCCTACAAGTAGTTAAACCTCTCCCTTCTCCATCCAATGGTAAATCATTCTCTTTCTAAGACACCCATAGTTCTAATTTACATTGAAAGCAGATGATTCCTAAGGGCCCCCGGAAGAAAGAACCAGGATGGCTACTACTGTCAGTTGAGGACAGGTGCAGCCAAGGTAGATAGATGAAGGCTGGGGAGAGGATAGGAACAAGAACTCATATTCATCTGCCTGTCTGACCTCCAGCCTGGTACAATCCTTTGGAGGTCAAGTGTAAGCATGGGCAATGAGCAGATTGGGAAAGGAAGTGAAGATATCTCAAATGTGTTTTCTTTGCATTTATAAAGCCAGGTGTCTGATCTTTAACCTTCTAATAGGCCCAGCCAGAGGGGGAACCATGTCCAACAGTCAGCTGCTGCTTTTAGTTCCATCCTCCTAACTTCTTGCTTCCCTACCTACCACACCCCCACCCCCCACCTTTGGTTTCCATTTCCATTCCCCAGTGCTTCTGGTCTTGAGAGCAGAGGCAGTTACCTTGACAGCAGGGTCTGGAGCACCAAAAATGGGAGGTGTGGTTCAAAAATACCATCTGCCAACCATCAGGCTAAGAGTAGCCAGGGCAGGTTGCAGGGTGGTCGTTGTGGTGTAGGGTGGCAGTGTGCACAGATAGGACCGTGTTTGAGGCACATGTCCCAGTGTGTTTGGATGTAGACCTTGTCCGGAGTGACTTGTGAGAACTAAGAGTGTTTCCCCTCTGCATTCTGCTGTGGCTGGGCTCTGTTTATTGAGCCTCCTCGTGGGGTGCTATTTATAGCCCTGTGTTTTCACCTCTGGGCCCTTTGATGGCCCTGTCTGAGCAGAAGCTGCCAACATCATCCCTCTTCACTGTTCACTCCGAGCAGTTCCAGGCTGGCCCGGGTGCCTTGAAAGGTTTCTCCTTTGTCATTGCCCTTTAAAGCTACTCCACTTTAGGTCACCAGATGGCAGCCCCTCAGAGCTTTCTCCTCCTTCTCGTGCTCAGCATCTGCAGTGCTAGCTCAAGGCTGGCAAGACTGGCCACCATCCAGGATCTGAGGCTGAGTCGATTGTACAAAAGAAACCGCTCAAGACACTAGAGAAACGTAAGCCTCTTTCTGTCTAAGGGGTGTGAACTGCCCTGGAAAACCCCTCCCCAACCCACCCCCTGCCCTACCCTTTCTTACTTGGGCTGGATCCCAATGGGTCCCTCCAACCTCTCATTTCAGTCTGATGTTTCACTTTCAACAATCCAGCGGATGAGGCTGATCAAAACCTCGGTTCCAGCAGTTTGTCTGCCCCCCGGCTCCCGGGGTGCAGGTAACGTTCGCTTTCTCAGACTTTGCCAGTGTGTAGCACGAGGTGTATTCTGTAAGGAGATCCAATGCCTCACATGCTCAGGATGCTACTCTAGGACAATCATCCCGGACATGGCTAGCTTGCTGTTTTTCTAACTTTGAAAGTCAAAAAAGCATCCACCTCTCCCACCCTCCCTGCAGCAGGAGAAGCTGTGGGGAGATTCATGGCAGCTTCCGGAAGCCCCTCCCACACCTGCACCGCACCTCCTCCTCCTCCTTGACAAGCCTTGTGAGTCATCTTTAACCCCTGTGGAGGAATTATGATTAAGTCAGGAGAGCCAGATCACTATTACTCATCTTCAAAGGGCTTATATAATCCCTGGTGGGAATGTTCCAGAGATGAACTCTAGATAATAAACAAAGCATCTGACTAGACTGTGGAGAGGGGGAGGAGGGAGGGGCAGTTGTCCCTGGAACCCAGGTATAGGTCAGTCATGGCAAGCACAACTGAAGAAAAGTACTCGGGGCCTGCAGTGCCAACCCTCTCCCTAGCCTGCTTCCAAAGCAGGCAGGTGGTAAAGAGCACCTTTGGGGAAGGAAAGGATTATAGGATCACCTGCAGCTCTGTGTATGGCCTGTGGGAGGTGGCCAGGGCTGCCCTCCAGAGATGGCCCTAGGAGCTCCCCACAGGTTAATCTTAGAAGTTGGGGGGAGAGGGAGCGGGAATCAAAGATGTTGCATACACACCAAGAAAACTGAGGAAGGGCTGAAGGATGATGTAGTGTGCTGCCAAGTTTGGTGTCTTAGCTGTTTGTTCAGTTACAATTCCCACGATTGCGTGGTCACCTCAGATCACAGCATCTGCAGTGATTTGGCTGTTTCAGTACTATGTGAATGTTGTGTTCTCGCCACTGTCAGAAAGTTTAGTGGTTCTCTAGCTGCAGAGCGCATGGTCGGCCAGCAAGTATTGAGTTTTTCGGTGCTGATGTTCATGACACTTTATCCCAGCATCCTCAGACCCTAGATCTGTGTCTTCTTGCCTCTAAAAGATGCGTTAATCAAGTCTACAAGAAAGGGTGGTATGGGGACTGGTGGCTCATGCCTATAATCGTATTTATTCAGGAGGGTAAGATCAAAACCAGCCCAGGAAAGTTATCTCCAGTTAACTACCAAAAAGCCAGAAATAAGCTGTGGCTCACCCCATTATTGACACAAAATGATGGATGGATGGATGGATGGACGGACGGATGGACGGATGGACGAGGCGGGAAGGAAGGAAGATAAGAAGGCCCTAGAAGCCTGAGCCTCTTCCACCAAGAACAACAGTCAGCTAGAAGTTGGTTTCAGACATTGACTTTCCTAGGTCTTTGACCTAGCTGGAACCCAGGCTAACATCTCAGTATGTTGGGTGAGTTGAATTGCTCTTTACCTGGGAAAGTTACCCTTTGAGGGAAGTAGATTGAGAGAGAGGGAAGGTTGTAGATGTGCTAATTAAACAAACAACAGAAGAATGTACTCGTATTGCTACTGGATCCCATAGTCAAAAAGTAGCAAGTGGTGGCTTGTAGGATGCCTTTCTTGGACAGAACCATTGTAGACTGGCTGTGCTGTTTTCCAGAAAGGAGAAGAGATGGGGGAACAGTAAAGTGTCATAGCTGGCTTCTGGCAGCCAGTGAGCAGACGCAAACACATCCGCCATCTCAACATGGAGTCCACTGCCAATGAGAGAGACTGAGAGATGACAGGATTGGCAGAGGAGGTGCTCAGTGAAGCTCATTTGAGAACAGTCTCCAGGATCCAGAGATTGAGGCAGCCTACATGCCAGAAGTCTTGTGGGTTCAGGAAATAGCTCGGGAAAGCCGGGTAATGCTATAGTGTCTGCGAGTTCCCCTTTGAAGTGAGTAGAATCAGGGAGATGTTTTAATGGGGGAACTCAAAAGTTAGGGCTAACAAAACGCATAATTCATAATATCTCCTTAGAGATCATTAGCTTGGGGTGATGTAGGATGATGGAAAGGTGATGATGATGGTGATGGTGATGCTAGTGATGAGGAGGAAGAGGGGGAACAATCATGGTCAAGCCACTGAGCTAAGCAATTTCTGTTGCCTGCCATATTTAACCCTCAGAACAGTCCTGTGAGGGATGTTTCTCTGCCTGCTTCCATTGGTAAAGAAACAGGCACGGGAAGGCTAAGGTTACTATCCCAGAGTTCCCATGCTGTCTGGGACACCTCAGACCATCTCCAGGAAGGACTGTGTGACACAGGAGCACCCCCAGCCTCAGGTCCCCCCAGTAGATGCTTGGTGAGGGTGGGTCTCCTTTGTGTTTCCTTTCCTGTTGAGTTGCCCCTTTGACCACATTCATGGGGCTCTGTCTTCGAGCTGCTTTTCTTCTCATAGGCAAATGACTTATGGCCGTGCCAAGTTTGGCTCATGTGTTCCATGTCTTCTACTTATTCTAATCCTGTTGTAGGGCTGGCTCCCTAGTCTATGTCTAGTTTTAGATGTTGGGATGTCCGCTTTTCAGGGATGTTGTCTCTGACATGATTTCACAGGGGAGCAGAAGTATCATAAACATGGCCGTTACTCTTCCCAGCTTCTCTGTCACCAGGAAGATGGCTGAGTTCTTCCATCTTGGTCTGGCTTCTATCTCAGGCTGTTTCAGAGGGGTTTTTACTCACCCTAAAATCAAGAGGGCACAGCGTTAGTGATTAGCATCAGGTGTCTGCTAACTAGAAATGCCTCTGTTAACTCACTTCAATCATCAGTTTTGTTCCCACCATATTTGAGGGGTAGTTAACTGACACGGGGGGGGGGGGGGGAATGGAAGGTGGGGAGATGCAGGACTAGGTTGGTCCGGCACAGGTCAAAAAAAGGCAGCCCCAGAACCAGCAGGCAGAGAGAGAGAGAGAGAGAGAGAGAGAGAGAGACACACACACACACACACACACAAAACTAGATCACTTCTAAGTATTTGTATGTACTGCTTTCTGCCTTTGAATTCCAACAGAGACAACACTTCCTACAGGAATATTAGCTTGAATACCTATTATACCTATTAGCTTGAGTTAAGTATCTCCATCTGATGCCTATAGTCTCCCTGTCTACCACTGCTTATTTGTACTTACCCTATGTCCTTACCACCTACACTGGAAGATATTTAGTAGAAGTTCTCAATAAAATTAATGGAGATAAGTATCTTTATTGCTGACCAAGATTGGATCTGTGACTTTGATTTTTTAACCAGTTGTTGATCTGCACAGCATGCTGTATCAGATTCTTTGCTGTTCTTCCTGCGATCCCAGCTCACGGTGAGCTGACCATGTCTAGGAGAGTATCATGCAACACAATGGTTGATGCCTTCTGCCACGGTTCCCCGAACACAGAAACCAAATACCCATTTCTGAAGACTGAAAACAGTTATCTGCAAACATGAGTTCTGCATTTTCCTCCTGTATTTTTCCTAGAAGTTTTACACCTCTAGTTTTGCCACACAGTAAACTGTAACTCCTTACCTGCCACACTAGACTTTTAAAATATTGGCTCAATCTGGCATTCTCTTTACTGTACAGTTGGGAAATTCTAGAATATTGGATAGTGAGTAGACTTAAACAAGAGTTTCAGTTATCACCCATCCGTGCTTTTGTAAGATGTAGTTAGAAGGGCCTCACACAAACCTGGTTTAAAAAAAAAACAAAAACAAAAAAACAGCCAAATTGTATTAGCAAGGAGTACAGAAGGCTCAAGAAATTGACACTCTTAAAACCGTCCTATATTCAAAAGTGGATAGATACATAACCCAATTAAAGCTTTGGAATATTTATGAACGCACATTCTTTTTAGAGATCTAAAAATTAGATGAATAAAACATATATTTAGGTAATTTGTTTTGGAAAAATGTACATGAATAATACTGGCTTTAAAAACTCAGTCTGCGGACTGGTTTCAGGTATTTTTGTGTGTTTGTGCTAGTCCTGGACACAGTGTTTCTTTTACTCAAGGCTAACACACTGCCACTTGAGTCATCAATCCACTTCCTGCTTTTTTTGAAGTTTATTGGAAGTAAGAATCTCCTGAAGCCAGGGGCCAGTGGCTCAGACTGTAATCCTGACTACTCAGGAAGCTGAGATCTGAAGATTGCACTTTGAAGCCAGCCAGAGCAGCAAAATCTACGACACTTTTATCTCCAATAAACTACTCAGAAAAAGCTGGAATTAGTGCTGTGACTCAAGTGGTAGAACACTAGCCTTAAAAAGCTCAGAGACAGGAAGTGGTGCTGTGGCTCAAATGGTAGAGCGCTAGCCTTGAGCTGAAGAGCTGAGGGACAGCGCCCAGGCACAGAGTTCAGGCACCATGACCAAACCGCCCCCCCCCCCCCCCACCTCCAAAAAAAAAAAAAAGTCCCATGGACTTACTGCCCTGACTGGCTTCAAACCAGATCTCAGCTCTCAGCTTCCTGGGTAGTTAAGATTACATGCATTAACCACTAGTGCCCAGCTGGGTGTTATTTTTGAGTGTGTATGTGCATGCATGCACCAGTATTGGGGCTTGAGCTCAAGGCCTGGTGCTTTCTTAACTTTTTCAATCACTCTGCCACTTGAAACACACTCTACTTCCCTGCTGTTTGATGCTTAGTTGGAATGAAGAGTCTCCCATTTTGTCTACTTGGGCTGCCTTTGAATCACAATCCTCATACTCAAGCCGCCTGAATAGCTAGAATTGATCACAGGCATCAAGCCCAGCTTGAATGTATACTTTTTTAGCTTTTTTGGTGGACTTTGTGTGAAATAGTACCCTTTGTTTAGCTTCCTTCTTTGTGAGATTATTCCAGGGCTGGGGATCAGATGGAATCTTGGAAGAGCACAGCTCAGAGAAAGAAACACATTCCAAGACTTGCTCAAAGTCACACAAGATCTAGGATTTGTGCTCTGACTTCATAGTACTGGCCTGGCCTCCCGACCCACGGAGGGTGTTGGTGGATGCTACAGGAGGACACCATTGACTTGAGCCAGATAAAATTGCCATTTGGGCGGTCTAAAAAAGGATAGCAAGGATTTCCAATGGCAAGGATTTCCTGCAGCTTCCTTTCTGTGAAGCCTCAGACAAAATGAGGTTGGTGGAAAGCCACAGAGTTTGCACAAAAAAAATGGACAGGATCTGACAGGTGCTGGCGACAAGTTGGTAGGAGCTAAATTTGCCCCAGGAACGAGTGTGTTCCAAAGAAGATGGGCATGGTGGAGGGGACTCCGTGGGGCAGAAGGAATTTGTGGCTCTCCAAAGCCTTCCCTGTGTGACCGTGGGCCTGGCTGGCAGACCTCCTTCTCCCACTGACCCTAACGAGAGGCCCAGCAGTGCTTGTTGCCACTTTTGGCTGAGTTTTTTCCCTTGTTAGATGAAGGACAAGTGTGCTAGTATTGTCCAATGCTGTCCAGTACAGGAGAAGCGTGAGATTGGGTTGTCGGGTTCTTTGTAGTCCACTGGCTTGCTGTGTTTCAGACTTTTGCAGGGTCTCACCAGAGCTAAGAAGGGTAAGGAAATAATGGTTGAAGTTAGTAATTGGAAGCTATTGGTCTGGTCTGACTTTGCTGACCAATCATCTTTCTGTCTGGTTCTTTTGTTCTTTCTCCCCATGTGTGGGTGCAGGTATATACGCAAATGCGCTCTCTCTCTCTCTCTCTCTCTCTCTCTCTCTCTCTCTGTTTCTCTCTGTCTCTCTCTCTCTCTCTCTTTCTCTTCCCTCCTCCTTCCCCTTCTCCCTTCTTCCCCACTCCTCCTCCCTCCCTCCTCCTCTTCATCTCTCCCTTACCCAAACTTTTTGACTTAGAATGGAAATCTTTCCCGTTGGCCTCACATGTGGCATCTTTCTCCCTGTGCTTTTCAGTTCCTCCGGGAGTGATACAGAACGGAGCGCGGGTTCTGAGCCGAGGACTGTTTCCTGGCGTCCGGCCATTGCCAATCACTCCTATTGGAATAACGGCAGCCATGAGGTAAGAGAGGAGCTCGCCTTGACCTATGGGGCCCTTTAAGAGGATGGAGAGGACCACTTTATTAGCCAGTGAAGAAAAAACTTGGGTGCACAACAAAGTCAGGACAACCCCCAACACCCTCAATCCAAGGCTGTCTTCCCCGTCAGCCAACAACTCACCCTGGTTCTTTGCTGATGAGGCGACGGGAACAAGTGAAGCGAGGTTGTTTTATCATTATTATTATCATCATCATCATCATCGTCGTCGTCGTCGTCATGAAGCCTGGTGGGGTGGGTATAGGAAAGGGTGTGTGGGTTGTTAATTAGATTCTCACCGAGCGCCGTCATTCCCTGACTGTGACTGTGTGCTGGGGTCTGACCCGTGCAGATTCTGGAGAAGTACCACATGGCTCCCCGTCTGTGCAACGTCTCTGTCTCTGAGGAGGGGTTGCCATGAGAGGCAGGTGCACACAAGCAGCCTGCTCCACCAGGTGCCGTAGAGACGCGGCGACATCATACCACTGCTGCTGAGAGTCAGATCGGCTGCATGACCTCTGCCTGGAGGGATTTCTCTTCTTCTTCCTCTTTCCCCTCCATCTCTCTGCCTTGAGGGATTCCTCTTCTTCCTCTTTCCCGTCCATCTCTTCCCCCTTCCCTCCCCCTCCCTTCTTCTCCCTTTTTCCCTTCCCCCTCCTCCTCCCCTCCTCTCCACTGCAAGCCCCAGATTCAGCTCCACTGCTAACTTAGATCTGACCTATGCCGCAAGGCAGCCTCCTCTCCTTCTTCCTATCCATCTACTGCCTGCCTCTGTGGCTATGCCAAGGCATTCTCCGTGATTTCCAATCTTCCCTTCTCCTTGAGCCAAATCATTTGACAAACGTCTCTAATATTTCCCATCATGGTCTTGATGGATAGACTTCTCTCCCAGTACATTTCTGGGAGTGGCTGGCCCACGTTTCCCTTGTGGTCCTTTGGTGCTGTGTGTATTTGTTTCCTGTCTGTCCCCAGTGCTGGGGTTGGGGTGGGACTTGGCCTCCCTTGGCTGATGGGTGCTGCCCGGCACGGGCCGGTGTCCTGCGCTGCACCTCTGTGTGTGTCGCCCCATGTCACTCCAGCCTGTCTTCTTCACTCAGGGGTCGCGTTCACACCTGAAGGCCATTTTGCTTTCATTGTGGTCACAGCCGAAAGGAAACTCTCCCAGACTGTCTGTCTGCTAAGCGCAAGGGCGATGTAGGGTCAGACTCTCTTGAGTGACTCAAAAAAGAAAAAGAAAAAACCTTTCACCAAGATGGAACCTGCTTTATCTTGTGTCTGGGACCAGCTAATGAGGGAAGTTGGTAGGAATTAGAGTGGTGAGACATCATGAAATGACATATCATCTCAACTAACCTGATAGGGAGAAGCATCAGAAAATAAATAGGAAGGGTCTTTTTTTTCAGATTTTTATAATCTTGCCTGGTTGCCTTCAGATCAATCATTGGTGAGCTTGTGCATGGTCAAACTCTACCTTGGAGCCAAACCACTGCCCCCGCCTCCCGCAGTGAGAGGCCGGTTCCGCTTCCCTTTCTTCTCACACGCTCCCTGCCTCACCTCCCGGGTCACCTTGTTGGTTGGGAAGATTTTGAGGCTATAGATGGTTTTTGTTTGTTGGTTTCTGTGGGGTGTTTTGTTTTTTTTTCTTTTCTTGCTGGGAGCCACAATGTGTTTTCATTAGCAGTTTCTAAATATAGACGTGCAGGATAGTGTGCCCATTCTTGGCGTGCCTTCAAGCACAGTCCTTCCAGAAGGACACAGATGAGGAGCCAGGTGGACACCAGGTTGGCCCTCAGTGGGAACTCCCTCCTCTCTTCATCGCTGCCCTCTCGGTATGTATTACTGCGAGTGTTACAGCTCAGCCTGTGCTACAGACAATATTCAAGTACTGGTGGCTGCTCTGGTGAGATTCCAGGAGTGTGCTCATATACACATTAACTCCTTCCAAAGTAAAAGATCCCTTCACTATGTCCACTCAGGCCTCATCAGGTGACATAGACCATGCCAGGATCTAAACTGAGAGACATTCAGGCAAAAAACTTAAATCAGCTGGGCAGGCACCAGTGGCTCATGCCTGTAATCCTAGCTGGAGATCTGAGGATTACAAGTCACAGTCAAACTGGAGAGAAAAGTCCATGAGCCCCCCCCAAAAAAAAAAGAGCCAGTTCTGGTGGCTCATGCCTATAATCTTAGCTTCTCTGGAGGCTGAGATCTGAGGATCACAGTTTGAGGCTTGCCTGGGCCAGAAAGTCTGTGAGACTCTCATCTGCAATTAATCACCTAAAAACTGTAAGTGGATTTTTGGCTTAAAGTGATAGAGCACTAGCCTTGAGCAGGGAAAAAAAAGCTCCAGGGCTGCGCCCAGGCCTTGAGATTCAAGCCCTGCAACCAACCAAAAAAAAAAAAAAATCTGTTTTAAAACCAGAAGTGGAAATGTAGCTCAAGTATTAGAGCACTAGCCCTGAGCAAAAAAGCCAATAATTAAGGAAAGTACAGGGCCTTGAGTTCAAGCCCCAGTACCAGGACCAACAAAACAAAAATCCTTATTAAGGAGAAGAGTGATACGGAGCTCTCCAGGTATCATGGACAGGAAGCGGCAACCACCTGCAGGACTGGGGAGGAGGCTGTGAGGAAAGGAAGTAGAATGGTCGGCCCTAGAGCTGAAATTCCAGCTTCCACCAAGGGAGTGGGATCTGGGCTGCTGGCCTGGAGGGAGGCGGTACCCATGGGAAACACAGGGAGATGGCACTGCTGCTGCAGGAATGACACACCGCTGGTCTAGGGCTCAGGCCAGAGGCTATAGGATGGGGACACGTGGCTTGTGGGATCCACACTGTCTTTGTAGGAGAGATACTAGGTGCCCAGATACTCTGAGAAAAACGAAAGTAATGTCGATGCTGGTGGATTGTGTTGTTCTAAATCCCAGTATGAAGGGTTGGAAATGAAAAGTGGGCTTCACTCTGTCCGATTTATTGTCAATTTAATAGTTATATTTGCGTGTCCATTGCACCTAAATTCAGCAGTGATAGGAAAACAGTCCAGGGCCGAAAAAGACAACACACGCGGTAGTGCACACCTGAAGACGAAGACTCCGGCACGTCGTGTTTCCAGGAGTTTTTCCCCTTCCCCGCTTACTGGGCTCAGGCCCAGGGCAAGTGGGAGACTCATTAGCACCCACTAAAGACCAATTTCCTCCTCTCCTTTGTGTGACAGGTTTTCTGTGTGAGTCTAAGCACTTCTCCTTAAGTGAAAATATTTGTCTTTCAAGGATTATTTCCCCCCACCTCTGCTGAGTGGCAAAGGCCGTGTTTGTTTGTCTTAACTCTGAAACAGTTATTGACTTAGATGAAGTGCTACTTTTATTAGCTGATCATTACACAGCTTGTATTTGCTGGGTTCCTTTGCATATAATTATGATGTGAAATCTCTTTGTAAGAGTATCTGTCAATAGTGTAATTGACTTTCTCGTGTTGACTCTTTACTCAATAACCTCAGAGATTGGCCCATCCTTCCACATTGGAAACCTGCTTATTTTCAAATTTGCCTGGGTATAGAACACTCAAGATACTTTATCCTCAAAATAACTGCTCTCTCTGCCTTCCAGTCCCACCTCTGCATCCTCTTTTTTCCCTAGTAAAATCCCCTGCAAGGATGCCACCGAAAGAAACAATTACAGCCCTGAAAGAGTTGTTTCTGGCCTTCTGAGGAGAGAGGAGGCCAGATTCATTTATTTACTTATTCATTCATCCATTCATTCATTACTCTTCTCTCCCTCCCTCCCTTCTTCCTTCCTTCCTTCCTTCCTTCCTTCCTTCCTTCCTTCCTTCCTTCCTTCCTTCCTTCCTTCCTTTCTTCCTTTCCCTTCCTTTCCTTTCCTTTCTCCCCTTTCTACACTTGAACTCAGGGCCTGGCTGCTATCTTGAAGGATGTTTACAACAAAAGTGCAGCACCAGTGGCTCACAGCTGTAATCCCAGCTACTCAGGAAGCTGAGATCTGAGGATTATGATTGAAAGCCAGCCTGGGCAGGAAAGTTCATAAAATTCTTATCTCCAATTAACCAACAAAAAAGCCAGAAGTGGAACTGTGCCTCAAGTGGTAGAGTGCTAGCCTTTGAGCATAAAAAGCCTCTTCATAGAGCAAACACCTGTTGTTGTTTGTCTTCTGAAACTGGTTTTTGAAGGCAATGATAAAACCTGGTGTTGAATGATACTCTGTGGTAGGAAAGCAGGAGAAAATACCAAGTAGCTAGGTTTATTGGAAAAGGAACAAAAACAAATATGATACACATCAGATAGAGGCCTCGGTTTCTTCTGGGTCCCAGGTCCCAGCAGAAGTGTTTGCTTTTGGCTGTTCTGATCCAGGCATTGAAATACTGATCTGCAAACCATAAGAATCTTATCTGAGTTCAGGTTGTTCTTCATCTTTCATATTCATGACCTTAGCGTAAATACCTTTGGAAGTGGCTCTTCATCCTGCCGTATCTAAAAATCCTCTGAGACCTTGGTGATTCAGTATTGTGTTAAATACAAAAGGCTCCATGGAGGAGCATGTGCGTCTTAGGGTCATTTCCAATTGGATTCAGGTGACTCATGGGAGGAAATTGGGGTCCCACTAGAGATGACCACTGAGGATGGTTGTGGGGCCTAGATGCTTTCAGGATGGGCTGACCCCAGACGCCAGGGCTTCACCTTGCCTCCTGCGCGTCTGTCAGATTCAACTTTCTAGAGCAGAGGGACTCTTGAACTTCATATTTATTTTACAGCCAAGGCTTAGGTAAAATTAAACTTACTCCCTGCTGGAGAATGTAGAACTAGAAACTCACAAGTGAAATTGACCCATATGACATCTGCCTCCTGGGAAATTCACACCTAGTAAAAAGAGTAAGTTTGCGTGCAACTCAGTGATTTGTCATGTGCTTTTCTTGATTTAGCTTCAACATTTGGTGTATTATTTGCCTCTATGTGTTTGGAAGGCTGCTTTTTTCTTAG